TTATGGTCATCCCTCGAAACGACCACCAAGGTCAGTACGATAAAATGGAGTCAGCTGAAGCGATAATACATGAAGGAATGAGTTCTTTTCCCTCCCCCACACACATCCGTATCCTCTCAGGGGGTGACCACAGTGTTCTGCCTTATATTGTGGCGTTTTTCTAAGAAATGGGTGCTATGTACTGTGCGAAAGCAATCGATTTTGCTAGCATAAATTTTTGTACATCCCTCTTCTAAGAATTCCAATTGAGTGTGTGTGTAGCCAGCTCAGGGCAATACGATATCATAAACACCAGGCCATATCACATCTCTACTGTTTATAGCTTCAGAGCAAAGAAAACACATCATTCATAACAGAAACAGCTCGCAATAGCCACAGGAACGTTGCTGCAAGACAGGCATATGTAACAACGACTTAGCGCTCTTAAACGCGTGTGTCAATAAATACAGTCCTCCTGACAACAGGCCAGTGAAAAATCTAACAATCTACAGCAAAAGCATCAATTATTATGGGCGTTATAACATACGTGTGCAGCTGGACGAAACATACACGCCGAACCCCCCAGACGATTTAAATCCCAGATGAAGCATACACGACGAACCACGGCAACGGGTTAATTATAACAGAGAACAGTTCAAGTTAAATGAGTGTGCCAAACCATTTTATCACTGTCCCAATTTCCATTATAACCTGAGTAAATTCCATCACATTTTTATATACGATATTAACTGAAAAAATTCATATCAAGTCAAAACTGTGTGTTTTCAACCTCCTCATTCCAAGGGAAGCCCCATGAATGCTAGGTAAGAACAATTCCAGCTGGAAGGTTGCAAGAGGAAGTCGGGCAGGAATGCAGAAAGAGGCAGAGAAAAGCAGGTGTAAACATGCTGAAGAATGGGCAGACGGAAGCACATATGCGACATTCATGATCATGACACTTGAAGGATAAAGCCATTGGCATAACTAAAACATGTTACGCAGAAACCAATATTTAATATGTGGCAAAATAAAACTAAATGAACAGAACTAACTAACTTAACTTCTGCAGGAAGAATTGCTGATGTACCTGTTACCTTGTAATGCTGGTGTGGTTTGGAAGTATCATTTCCACCATCACTAGGACCACTTGTGTCTCTGTAACATTCCCAGGAGTGGACCATTTATCACCAACACTCAACACCAAAACATAGCTTCATTGTCTTTTCATTCAATCACAACTGTCTCAATGCCGCTAACGTCTGTCAACAGTGACGCAGGGCCACCACAGTCAGCAACTTCCCACAATTCCTTCATCTCCAAAATATGGCATCAGGGACAAGAAACTGACATCTACTTTCTTGAATTATATCATGTAACTCAACCAGATACCACAAGGACAAAATTTTATTAGCTTACATATGAGAAACAACAGTTTGAATCAAATATGTAGCTGGAATCATATTTTACAGTCATCAAATTCCATTACAATTTAAATCAACTATATCACATTTTCTTCTCTTACATTACAAAGTGAAAAATTCCATTTTAAGGCAATAGTAAGTGTTTTTTACTCCCTTAGGCCAAAGAAAGACACATGCATACTAGCTAAGAATACTCAAGTTCCATGCATGGCAAAGCCAGGTATGCAATCAAGCAGGCTCAATGGGGAAGAAGCAAGCAGTCTCAGGCGAACAGACAGGCAAGTATCCTAGAAGGAAGAACACATCTGCATAAGAATCACATGTTCCTTAAAACCCAACTTTTAATAGTTCGAAACTAAGTGGGAAAGCAGAGAACAACTAATATAACTCATATAAGAGCGACTGCAGCTCTACAACTTACCTCATAAAGGATGGTATAGTGTGGCAGTGATATTTCCACTGCAATTAAGACACTTGTGCGATATAACATGACCAGAGGTTCATCCATTTTCCCCAACTCTCTATAAAATACATCACTCAAGCTTTTGCATCTTCATACAGTCACATCTGTCTCATTGCAAATCAGTTCCTAAACGAGTCACGCAGGGCCCAGAAAGCAGCAAAGTCCGTGCAGGTTTCTTAATTCTCCAAAATTAGCCTGAAGAAAAAGAATAGTCTCATACTTCAAAGAAATATATGATGAAGCTCCAGTGGAACATCACAATGACAAATACATAATTACCTTAATTATAACAGAGAACAGTTCAAGTTAAATGAGTGTGCCAAACAATTTTATCACTGTCACAATTTCCATTATAACCTGAGTCAATTTCATCACATTTTTTATATATGATATTATTAACTGAAAAAAATTCATATCAAGTCAAAACTGCGTGTTTTCAACATCCTCATTCCAAGGGAAGCCCCATGAATGCTAGGTAAGAACAATGTCAGCTGGAAGGTTGCAAGAGGAAGTCGGGCAGGAATGCAGAAAGAGGCAGAGAAAAGCAGGTGTAAACATGCTGAAGAATGGGCAGACGGAAGCACATATGCGACATTCATGATCATGACACTTGAAGGATACAGCCATTGGCATAACTAAGACATGTTACGCAGAAACCAAAATTTAATACGTGGCAAAATAAAACAAAATGGCCTAAGAGTAGTCAGAAGAGTGACTGGATAAGAGAGTGTCCGCACGTTATATTTTGCTTATTTCCAATCTTTGCTATCATATGGACTGATATTTTGGGGTAACTCAGTAAAAGCAAAATTGATATTTAAATTACAAAAGAGAGCTATAAGAGCTATGACCCAGGTCCCAAAAACAACTAGTTGTAAACAAATTTTCAAATCATTACATATATTACCTTTACCATCTTTGTATATATACGAAATTTTAATATACATAAAATCCAATTTAAATGATTTCACAACCAACTCAGGATTACACTCATACAATACAAGGAAAAAAGACGACTTACACATCGTCCCATGTAATACAAGTCTATACAAGAACAACTTTAACAATGTAGGAATTCGACTGCTAAATCATTTACCACTACATATTAAAGAGATACCAGTACTATTCAAGTTCAGAAGTGCTTTGAAAACTTACCTACTTAATCATTGCTTCTACAAAGTGGATGAGTTTCTCTTGTATGGGGCAAGCACTAGCTCTAATCAATTATAATCACATAAGTAATGAATAATTGGTTTTGGAGAATAATTGGTTTTGGAATCGCTACTGCGCAGTTTTCTTTTAACTTTTCCAGCAACCAAGCTAACACAGTGGAGATTTACCGGAACAGGCTACTCTGGAGATATGCAGACTTCAAGAAGCTTCACCAGCACTACAGAGACCAGGACCATAAACTACAGTGAAGCAACATACCAGACAATATTATCTCTAAGGCCGTGCCACAGCTTAAGCGGTTAGTCGCTGGCTTCCCACCGAGGCGGTCTGGTCCAGTGGGATTTGTGATGGACAAAGTGGCACTGGGGCAGGTTTTCTCCGAGTACTTCGGTTTCCCCTGCCAATCTTCATTCCATCAAACTCTCCATAACCATAACCACCCAGGATATATATCATTCGAATCATAATTTTATTATCTTTGTATACTATTATATCATTGTGTTATATATTGTATTATTATTATTATTATTATTATTACTATTATTATTATTACTTATTGTATTGTAAAGTATTTGACTTGTCCTATATCATGTACAATGATCCATGGATATGATATGAAATAAATAAATAAATAATAAATAAATAAATAACAACTAACTTAACTCCTGCAGGAAGAATTGCTGATGTACGTGTTACCTCGTAATGCTGTTGTAGTTTGGTAGTATCATTTCTACCGTCAATAGGACCACCTGTGTCTCTGGAACATACCCAGGAGTAGACCACTTTTCACCAACACTCATCAGCACAACTTACCGGCATTGACTGTTCATTCAGTCGCAACTGAATTAAGCTTTATTCTGATGTGAAGATTTGTTATGTATGTCTTAAGAGCTCTTAAGACTGCCTAAAGCAATGATAATATTGAACTCGTACTGTTCCAGTTAATTCGAAAGCTGAAATTAAATTCACCGTGGTGCAAGTTTTTTACGGCATTTGCAACTAACGATTTCATTATAAAAAACGTCAATTCACCAACCCATTCATTCACAAACAGTATTAAACATCCTCCAATAATATCCACATTCAATGAATAAATAACGGCAAAACACTTCTTATTACCACTTACATTTCAACAAAATCCTCACGAAACTTCCTTCGCCTTAGACCATCCAACTCACAAAACAGCTGCCTGCTGATAAACAAATTAGCTTCAAAATGCCTCCGTAAGTGGCGCAGCTTCCAACCTCGATACGCTCGATACCTCCACACCACTCCAAAATGCACCAACGGCACCGACAGCGCCACTAGCGGCTAAAACTGCTGACCATTCTTTTACAGTCCTCAAATATCCGAATTGTGCCACTTTTTCAAAGCATCCGTTGCCTATCTTTATGTCATGATTCCGCCCTACATTCTGCTGATGAAACATAAACATATACTTAGTTTTACACAAACCTCCTTACTAGCATCAATTAAAGTTTCTGTTTTTCTCCAATTGTGGTATCTACTTCACACTTCCTTACAGGATTCTGCAACATTTGTCTTGTGTATTAGTGCACCCAGATTTACATCATCAATTTCGCAACAAGTATTATTACAGTGCAAGGTCATCAGCCTTGCATGCGACAGCTAACCCAGAGGACCAGGTCTCTGTATTTATGTCCCACGGTGACAGGGTGGCCCACAGATAACGCCAGCTGCATGTTCAAGAGAAAATGTTTCCCCCAGTATAATATATCAAAAAACATCAGTACTTATAAAATAATCATCTGCAATCATGAAAACACAACATAATTAATTATTTCTACATTTTTTTACTTCTTTCACAGTGAAAGGCAAAAACACAAATTCTCACTCTACGATCATTGAGGTATACTATGTTATTGGAAGTGTATCACTGCAAGAAAATAACTTTCCTCATAAATATTCAGTTTTTCTTGGTAGTAATAGGTCTAGAAATGAACACGGATACAACTAAATACATATTTATGTCTTGTCCTTAAATACAGGGCAGAATCGTAAGAAAAATATAGCTAATCAACTCTTTGATGGAGTTGGAAAAGTAAAAAAAAAATTTGCAAAAAAAAATAATGAAAATTGTATTAAGGAGGAGTTAAGGGCAGATCAAATGGGGGGAATGCTTGCTCTAATTCCTCAAAATCTTCTGTCCTCCATTCTGTTCCCCTAAGAAAGTATAGATTAAAATATACAAGACTCTGACTTTACTTCTTGTTATTTTATGAAATGTTAAACTTTTCACTCAGACTCAGATGACTGTAATCATTATAATAATTTCTGAATAGACTGCCCGTTTATGTTTGTTTAATACATCTGTACCACTTTTAAGATAAGATTACAATCTATTTTGTGCATGGAGTTTACATGTGGAGTCAATTTGGGTATCAGAACAGACAGTGAATCTTTCACCGAAGACCATTAGCTGAAAGATCACTGTGAAGTTGATGTGGAGTAAGTTTTGAGGTTTTCATGGCGATAACAATGAAGAAAATTGTCTTTTGGGTTTAGGCACCGTGTATTCTTCGTTTTGGCCGACGTTTCGGAGGAACGTAGCGCCTCCATCTTCAGAG